ATTGAGAAAAGGGTGCGAAAATGGGTCCAAAAGTTATTGCATAGGATATGAAAGCTATTAACTGAATACTAGTATAAGATTACATAAAATAGTTTAGAAATGTTTTGCAGTTTTACAAAATGTTTTGTTTTGCAAATGTTTTGCAATATTGGCATCAATTTAAAAATCTATTGAAATTAAAATACAGTATATTTAAAGTAACACTAAAATTAATTATCTAAATATAAATTCGCAAATTGAACATGATCTTTGCAATTAAAATTATTAAAAGCTAAGCTAACATTGCACACTCGGTCATACAGTATAGAAACTTTTAATTCAAAACCAATTCATTAATACTTTCTTAAATTTTATTGTTGATTAAATTTATCTAGGCCATAATGCCAATAAATAAGACATGACCATAATGTGATAAATATGAGGGTTAGACATGTTGGGCGCCGCCACTGACCACGAAGTTGGATGCGGTCACAAACGCCGCGTCATCGGACGTCAAATATAACACGGCATTTGACATATCCATGGGCTCACCCACCCGTCCAATCGGGCACTTCTTGGCCCACTCTGCGTAAAATTCATTGTATTTCGCTTCAGTAATGTTACGACTGATTCCGAGGGCCTCGGACTTAACGAGACCGGGACTTTGACCGCAAAAATATTGAGAATAACAAGCACATTAATTTTATATTAATCAATTACTAGTGAATATTAGCGAGTTCATACTTGATAACGTTAGCTCGGATACCTTTGGGGCCCAACTCGAGCGCTACGCACTTTGTGAACATATCCAGCGCCGCCTTTGACATTGAATACAATAGCGATTTCTATTAATAAATTAAAATTAAAGATATATTTAAACAGGGTAATTCAATAAGTAACTTTGCAAAAGATGAATGTGTAATAAAAAGCATTGAACCTTTTTAATGGATTTTTTAGTACACACTTATTGAATGACCTTGCACACAAAAATAAATATAAATAAAACAATTGTTTTGTAAATAATTACCGGTTTAAAGGCCCCATTGCTCGACACGTTAACGATATTACCCTTAGTTTTCTCCAAATGCTCGACACATAAGTGAGTCAACCATACGACTGACCGCAGGTTTGTGTTCATAATGAGCTCATACTTATCGAGGATATCCCCGTCCCATATGCTCGACACCATACCTCTACCCGCGTTGTTCACTAAAATATCCAGCTTTTTGAACGTCTTGATAGTGTCGGTCACTAATCGGCGACAGTCGTCATCGTTGGTGACATCGGCCACCACTTCCAGGGCTTTAGCACCGGTAGGCGACGCCTCAGCGCATTGTTTGGCCACAGCGGACACCCTATCTTTCCTGCGACCGGTGACCACTACTTGAGCCCCCAGTCGGGCGAACTCTACCGCAGTGACAGCACCGATACCACTGGTCGAGCCGGTAATCAGCACTACTTTGCCCGTAAAATCTCTGGAAGTCGTCATGATTTTAGGGTAAAGTATAAATGCCTTAAACTTTATATGATTAGAGTTTTGGCTGAAATCTATTATAAATAATTTTTAAAATGTATGTTACCACATTCAGTATTTTCTAGATAATTCTTTACCGTTTTTCTAAATCATATTGCTGAGTAATATGCAATGATTTTTAAAAGCTTTATTATTAGCAGTTTTTTGTGGAGGTCATATTTTGCAATAACTTAACGTAGTTTTCAAATACTTGTTTCTATGGAAAATGTTTTCAATTTTACCATTGTTTAAATTTACAACTATGTATATCAGTTTAAACCAAGGGGGGAAAGGAATATGAATTCATGTGCGTCATTCAGATTAGTACGTAGAGAGAGAGAGAGAG